CAGGTCTGCTGCTGTGAAGAATGCATGCGAGGCTGGCAGGTTGATGGAGAGGGTAATCTGGTGCTGAATATACATTTTTCTTGGTAGACATTTTGAGTTAGAACAGCTGAAAGAGCCCAAGTAGAACACATTTACATTGACTTTACAGGGATGTGAACAGACATGTTCAACATGTCACTCTCCCAAGCTGTCTCTGTCTTTTATCATTATCGTGCCCAAAGTCAACATGGAGCCCCATCGCTGTGGGCGTAGGAAGACGTCAGCTGGTGTCCACACTGATCTCACCCACCTGGAGAGCAGGGGTTCCTGTGTCAGGCTCCTCTACCTGCTCTTTAGCTCTTCTGTCCATCTTTGAGTTTAAATTACACACAATGCTCCGTTCATGCAAGGTTCATCTAAACCAATAAATTACTTTTTTTACTTGCAAACATGCATTTAATGAAGTGATGGAAACAGGTGTGTTTCTAGAGCGTAGAGGAACTGTGTGGGGGTGCAGGACAATGAATGTGCTATAAGATGTAATGGCAACCCATCTAGTGCTGACAGACTGACAGGCCATACCCAGTCACGTCTAGCAGCACTGCTAAAGCTCACCAATTAGCTTTCTGAATCGTACCAACCCGTAATTAGTGAACTTCAGGGGTAGCGTTTGGTTTCCACATCTTATACTTCATGTCTGTTTTTTCCAGTTGCTTTGTATGAACTATCGGCATCCTTAAACATGCCTGTTGACATGTTCTGTTCAACAGTTCTTTAATAATCCTAAATGCAATGCAGGACTAAATCAGTGTGCAACAGGCCTGTCTTTATGGTGGGAGAAAAAGAAAACCCCACACAAACACAGGAAAGAATAAAAACTCTGAGTAGAATTCTGCCTGATTTTAACTGCTTTCTTACTGTTTTAGTTTTATAAGTTCATTCTTTATCACTACCGTCTGACACTAGCTGTATGAACTGCTTTATGAATTAGGATGACCGTTACATCGTCACGTATGTAGGGACAGTCGAGCAGCTTGTGAGCTGGTCTGTGTGGAAACCGCAGAGTGACAGGCGTTGACTGATATGACTGATGATGCTTCCATCTGAGCCCCGACGAAACATGCAAAACCCTGAGCAGCATGAAACTCCATCTGTGTCCATGTGTGTGTGTGTGTCTGTCTATCTAGTAGCAGTATTCATGGTGGAGCATGGCATTAATGCACGTTTAAGACCATTTTTGAATTTTCACTTCAGTTTAAAAATGTAGGTCAATCTGAAGGTTTGAATTAAGGGAAGTCCATGTTTCTGTTGAGATGATGATTTTACACATTAAAATAAAACCAACACTTCCTGTGGGCAGTCATGCAAAAGCAAACATGCACAGGTTTACCAGCATATTGGCAGCGTGTGGCGATGATGTTAGGCTGCACATTTCCTATGTTGACAGTTTTATGCATTTTATTTCATCTACGGTGGGAAGACCTCCATCACCCAGCAGGTGATACTGAATGATGACACAGTTACTGATACAGTTACAAATAGACTAATCAGCTCAAACTCGGTGTCCGTGTCCTTTTTCTTCTTAGTAAATTGTAAAATGTGATTGTGAAGCAAAGTCACACACTAACGGTAAACTCTGGGTGAGAAAGGTGATTGTTTGGCTTTGTCCTGTGTAAGGGAAATAAAGTAGGCGTACCTCCACAGTAAAGGCAATTGTTGCATTAATTAAAATGACCAACACCAACCGTGTTCCACTGTTTATTCAACCGTGATCAAGTATCAGGGTTCTGGCCAGCGTTATACCAGTAACGGCCCGTTCAATTGGGCCGATACTCTGTTTTCGAGGGTATATAATATATCTGACCTATAAAATAACAGCTACATGTGAAGAGGAACATTTTTCATGCTCGTTTGCTGCATTCTTTGTATTTGCTTCATTTCAAAACATCATAAAAAACTGACCACATGGTGAACAAAGCTGTGCAGAGTCTCAGGAGAGTCTCCTTCAGACCTGAATGAATCTGACTCATCATGATCTCAAACGATGTCGTCATGGCTACCAAAGCATTTTAAAGCGTGCTAAGTGGAGAACAGTTAGCAGTAGGTACATTCCCACAGCTATCCTAACAGCTTCTCACAAATCCACCGAACTCTTGCGCTACAGTTGAAGTCGTTCAAACCCACGAACATCTCCATTGCTCGGAGGTCACCACAGTCTTCTCCTCCATATGCATCATCTGGCTGTCCAGGGGCCCACAGCAGCCTGCTGGGAAGACAAATAAACCTGCAGTCACTGTTTACATCCAGGTGACCGTAGGACAGTTGGTTCTTTGATCGAACCATGTGAGACTTCTGCTGATGATGGTGATGATGGTGATGATGGTGTGTGAGTCATGACAAAGTCTCTCTTGGTTTGTTTTGGGACTACAGACAGAGTTCATGTTTTCTATAATGAATTTTTAGGGTTTACATTTTGATGCCTCCCTGATGATCAATAAGAATCTAACCGCCTCATTCATCGACATCCGGTTTCAGTCTTTTGCAGCGTTGTGTAGATACAATAACTACGGATTTGTTTTCAGCTTTCAGCTGCTGTGTTACAAGAGGTGCCACGACTTCCAAGAGCTGATGGAAGCTCGAGCAGCATTTAGTCTGTGGTGGGCTGTTGCATGTGCATCTACTGATCATGGAGTTATCTGTGGCTGGGATCAGCAGAGTCAAGCAGGAGGTGGCCAGGGCAGGAGCACCATGAGCACTATTCTACACATGACTATGAGTTGTCTGACCCGTCTTTGTCTACTGGTGTTCCATCCACCCAAATCCAGCTTCCTTCCTCCTGTCTGTCAGTCATGCCGACCCATGCAGCCATGGCGAAACCAGCCAGGAAATCCTGTTAACGAGCACCGTCTTCATAAACAGCAGGTTCACAACACGAAGTGCACAAACATGCAATAGTGTGTGGAACATAAAGCATGTGACGCACCTGTTCCTGCCGGCTGTTGATGACCACCAGGTCAGCGTCTCTCCGCAGACAGTCCTGGCGGCTGCCGTCCCAGTTCCTGCGCTGTGAGGAGACGTAGTAGCAGCTGGAGCCGAGCTGACGCCAGCCCTGTGGACAGGCCTCTTCCTCTGTCGACACGCCTCAACACAGAACACAGACAGCATGTCCCAACGCAGTCAGGGTACAAACACACCAACACAGCATCCTCATCTCTATTAGATTGTATTATTATGTTAGAAGTTTCACAACATAACAGCTGTTGGTCATGTGAACAACTCACTGGTGTAAATTTAATGAACGTGTACCCTTGGTGCATTCCTTTGCTCTACTCCCCACTATTTCTAGTCTATCTCCACCCTAACTATCCATCCATCATCTCTACACCTTAACCCTCACTAGGTGGATGGAGTCTATCCCAGCTGACTCAGGGTGAAGGCAGGTTCACCTGGACAGGTAACCAGTCTATCACAGGGCTACACTTAGAGACAGACAACCAAGCACACTCACATTCACACCTACGGACAATTTACAATCACCAATTAACCTCAGCATGTTTCTGGACTGTGGGAGGAAGCTGGAGAACCCGGAGAGAACCCACGCTGCACGGGGAGAACATGGAGACTCCACGCAGGAAGATCCCGGGTGTCCTCACCGGGACGCCAACCAGGGACCTTCTAGCTGTGAGGCCACGGTGCTAACCACTGATCCACCTGCAGCCCGTGACAGGACTTGTTTTGTTTGTGTTGCACTTTGCTGTCATTGTTTGTTTTTAATGCACAACCAGTAGAAAACCCTTTTACCAATAGCCAGACTATTTTTTCCAAAGCCTCATTTGGACTAATGGAACGACATTTCCTCTCAACTGTTGGTTCTTTCTCTGCAGCAGGACGGCCTCCTTCACCTACAGACATCTTGTTGCGTCGTATTCACTCCCACACTGGGCGACGTTAGGCAGCGAGGTAGCAGTGAATGCACTCAGTTGTTGTGTCTGTAAACCGGCTATGGCAGAGTGAATGATGCCACATGACACCGTGTGGTTGGCAGAGGGAGGAACTTCCATGTCCGGGCAGCAGACGCACCTCTTTGACTGTAAAATGAGCCGGACTGCACCACCTAGTGGGTGCTGAGTTGAACTGTCCACCTGGCACTTTGATGCCACCTCACCAACAGCAACGATACGATTCTGTGGCTGGTTCTGGTGCTGAGTAGTAACACTACCACTGTAGCAGTATTTCATATTTTCACAGGTAGCAATACCATAGACAACGTAGCACCACTGTCCAGCCTCAGCCCAGCCGGGTGAACAGCAGTAACTTCCCCTTGGCTGCTTTGTATCTGCACAAGCCATGAAGCTTGTTGTGATTAACTGCAGTGGTTCTCTGACAGCTCACCAAGTGGAGCTAGAAAGGCCATGAGCACAGAGTCAGATAGCACCAGTAACTCCCTCCGTGGTCCAACCCTCTGCAGACTCTGGTGTTTGTGTACCTACCTTTCTCAGTGGACCCACTCAGACCGACTCTCAGCAAGATGTTGAGAACTGCCTGGAGGACACACAGTATCCCAAAGCTCAGCAGAACCGCCAATAGATGTCTGGAGTCTGTACAGCACACACAGTGGAAACATCTGATTAGATCCTGTTAATCGATCAATAACCAACCTGCTACTCTGCTGCACAGACTAACGTTTAGAAACAAAATAAAACCTAAACCCATTTAAATGGGTAGTAATAGTCATAATCTTGTGTTTTAAAAAGGGATGGACAGCAACCACTGACTGTATATATAATATATATAATATATATATTTAGTGTAACAGGCCTGTTACCATGCAGCAGGAGCCCCAGAAATCTTAATTATGTTCCACACAGTTGGTGCAAAGCTGGACATGTTTAACTCCTTTTACATTTACACAGTATTTCTGGGGTCAAGCAGTTTTATTGATCTTCTAAGTAAAACCTCCAGAATAAGGAACAGGTAGTTTGATGAAGTTCCTTTTAAATCTTCTACTGGTCGGTTTGTTCATAACTCTATCCACGTCATCTTCACTGTTCTTCCCTGTGTTGTGTGCATTGCTTGCTGTATTTGTAAGACCTTCACTAGAGGTCTTTATATTTCAGAAGAGAACCACTTACTGGATCTGGGAGGTCTCTTTGGAGCAGCAGCAGCAGCAGCAGCAGCCACCGGCTCCGGCTCCGGTCTGGGGAACTGCTGATATTCACCGACTTCATAGGCGACGTCCGATTGAGCAGAATGAAAGAACACGGCCATGTTGAAGCAGCTGTATGAAGGAGGTGTCGATGTGACCAGCACTTCAACAGCAGCCTCTCCTGTCACAGGTTCCTCTGTCTGGTGTTGGAGGAAGTAGGTCCGCTTAAATAGTCAGCGGCACTCATCTGTTTCTCTAGACTGTTGGAAGGTGGCAACTTTAAACACTTTAGGACAATAAATAACTGATATGCTCATATTAAAATAAATAAATTCACATTCTATAAAGAGTTTACACATTTTAATCATAAAGGTTTACAATATACACCATCAATACATACAGAACAGTCTAGTGCAGTCTGCTAATATCTAGGGTTTGCTGAAGGTTCTACAAATATGTGCCAAGTTCAGTCTACAACCACATATTAAAGTTTAGTTCTGGGTTTCTGTGGATGAAAGAGAAGTCAGTTAGTGTGACCGCTGAACGCAGACGAATTCTAAAGTTGTGTGATTGCAGGATCACGTGCTCGGTGTGTTCACGATGTACCTCAACGACGTCATGCATGAGCCTGAAGCTGAGCCTAACAAGAGAAAAGAAGGTTCAGACTCTGTTTTGTCTTTAAACACGTGATGAGGTGGATCTGGGGCTCCTCCAAGTCGTTTCAGCATCTCAACAGAAGCAAATGTTCCTGCAAACCAAGTTAAATATTCAGTCGCTTGTGGTTCGGTCTCGTGCCAGATTCAGGTTCACGGTGTCGAAACATCCTGTTGAGAAAAGTCTAAAGACAAATAACAGCATCAGCTTTACACAACGGCGTGGACGAAACACGTTGCACAAAAACACGCAAAACGCTGCTGCTGCGTCGTGTCTTACACAAACCGGGCCAAAGTGTTCTGGTACAAAAACATACAGCAGATCACACGTCGTTTTCACAACTGTTCACGGCTGCAGTCACTCCTCCTCAGTGTGAGAACATTATGTCGGACAACACCACATCCCAGAAGATCTGTGACCAAACCCACCTGGTCTTTACCTTCAGCTCCATCGGGTCCATTCCACATTCACTGAGTTGTTTCAGTCATATTAAAGCAGGACACAATGTTCAGCAGCTACAGGTTTCCATCCATCCATCATCTCTACACCTTAACCTCATAGGGGGCGGAGTCTATCCCAGCTGACTCAGGGTGAAGGCAGGTTCACCTGGACAGGTAACCAGTCTATCACAGGGCTACACTTAGAGACAGACAACCAAGCACACTCACATTCACACCTACGGACAATTTACAATCACCAATTAACCTCAGCATGTTTCTGGACTGTGGGAGGAAGCCGGAGAACCCGGAGAGAACCCACGCTGCACGGGGAGAACATGGAGACTCCACGCAGGAAGATCCCGGGTGTCCTCACCGGGATGTGAACCGGCGACCTTCTAGCTGTGAGGTCACGGTGCTAACCACTGAGACACCTGCAGCCCTACAACAGATGTAGTAACTTTATATTTTTAGTTGGACAGCAAATAAATATGACTGAAGAAAATCTAATCAGTGCCTGTTTTACGGTTATATGTTGTTTCTCAAATGGTTAAACTCAGAACCGACTTAAACCTGGTACCAGTGAAGGCCTACTGTGTGCACACCACAATGAGCTGCTTTAAATGCACCATGACGCGCAGGCAGCTTCCAGATGCTCACAGGCCTTTCTGTGTTTACCAGCGTCCCGGTTATGCTGTTAGTGTGCATGAAAACATCACATGTGAGAAACCCAGATGAGCTGGTATCCCGGTAAAGATGTGGTGCAACAGACAGAGATGGACAGACTTGAAAGCAGCAACTTGCTGAAGCGTGTGTCAGGCTGCTGTGCAGTAAAAACACATCAAACAGAGTGAAAGAAAAAAAGGTCTTTATACTTGAAATGAAACAAACGGTACAGCTACAGGTCCACAGCTCACTGCTGTTCATAGATAACATCACAGAGGACATGGAGGTGTGACACAAGGCAGGGGACGAACCTCTGGGGGACTGTTGTCAAAGAATCTCACCCAATTGGGTCCAAAACTTTCCTTTCTACACAAACTGGATCGCGGCTCTGCTTGCAGTCACATGAGAACGTCCCTGACAGAGCTCAGGACTCGTCCTGCAGGGATCTGCTGAACTCAGACGTGAACGGCTAAAAGCAGAAGCTGGAATGTTTCAGAAACACGTCGCAGTCAGCGGTGAGCCTCAGACATCTACAGTGAGGATGACTGACTGTGTGTAGATTAGAACAATGTGGAGATGACAGACTGCACGGCTGTTAAACTAATGTGTGTGTCTGCTTTAAGGATGGACCTGAGAATGAGCTAAAACAATACAAATATGGATAGAAATGGACTTTATGGTGGCATCTCAGCAGTAGTGGAGCGGCACCGACCAACACAGGATCATTTCTAACAGTCCATCATGAGACACGCTGAAGCAGATCACTGGGACCCGTCTGATCCTCAACGTGACCAGAACTGAGTCCTCCGTCATTCTGCCTTCCAGGAACAAAACAGAAAAACCCAGCACATGTAAAGGTGGACAGCTGCCCACAGACACCCCGGTGGTCACCTCATCTGTCCAATAACACCAAAAACACCAGCCAGGGTCAGTTCATTTAAGTCCCAGCTCAGTTGATTGAAGTCCCACTGGCTCATTAAAAACTATACAAAGACCCAACAAGTCATTCATCAGCTTGTTCTTTGTCCTTCACACCTCTGACTGAGGACAGAAACAGGTTTGTGCTTCAGTAGGAAATCGTCTGCTGACTGGCCCACGCTGCCGGTTCAGTCCTAAGTCATGGTGAGTCAGGGTTTAGCTGCAAACGATCACCAGGCCACCAAAGCCCCGGTTTAAGTCCAGATAAAACACGTGAACAGGGGGGAAGTGGTCAGTAACGGCACGGAGTTTAAAAAATGTTGTGTAAGAAGTTTTATGCATTTACTTGGAATCTGACTAATAAAAATCCAGCTTCAGTCGGGGACGACCTGCTCTGCTCTCACAGGAGGTCCGAACAGGGAAACTAAGTTAAAGGTGGTCGGTTACAACTCAGCTCAGTGAGCGTATGGTGTGAATAAAGCAGAGCTAACAGCAGATCACATCAGGATGAGGTGCTCTTCTTCAACAGGACAGACTGTCGGTGGTTCATGTCCAGGCCTCACAGTGGAGGAGGAGGGGGAGGAGGAGGAGGAGGTGGGAAGTCAGAGAAGGAGTTTGGGGGCCAGAGAGGAGAGGAGAAGGAAGGGTTGAAGAAATATGGAGGAGGAGGATAGAGAGGGAAGCTGGGTGGAGGGAAGTGGTGAGGAGGAGGTGGAGGGTAAGGGCAGGGAGGAGGGAGGTACATGGGCGACACCTCCGAGGGCCTGAACGGAGGCTGCTGGCTTCTGGAGTCCTGGTGCCTGAACGGAGGCCCTGCGTGTCTGGGTGGGAAACCCCTCGCGTCGTGCTTCTTCCGAAAGGTGCTCTGGGTGGAGTTGGCAGGTTTATCTGGAGGAAAGAAGAGATTTAGGAATCTAAAGAAAACACTGATGGATGTGTGTCATCCTTAGATCTGTAGAACGTTAAACAGATTCAATAATCATTACTGTCCAAACAGAACATAAAACAACTGGTCGTGACTCGATGATCCGACACTAAATGTAAAACCTTCTTCTATGTCGGATATCAAGGCTGTCGGATTGTCCAGACGGAGGTCCAGATACGAGGAGGGCTTGATGCTGGAAGGCTCATTAGTTGTTCATTATTGTTCATAGTTGTTAGAATAACCAGTGTGTTGTTAGAACACTACGCATCGCTGGACTTCAGCCTAACTGAC